AAGGTGGAGGGTCAGAGAAAAAAGATGAAGACCCCCAACGAGATGGATTGGCCAAGTGGCAGCATCGGTGGGCTCAAGCATGGCAACAATTGTGAGGTTAACCCAATATTGGGCAGTGTTTCGTTCTGCTGTACATAAGGTCGCTGTGAGACGGCACCAACTCGATGGCACCTAACAACAACAACAATTACTTTAAAGAAAAAACTAATATATCATAGATGACACTTAAGAAGGTAACATTTAAGATCAGGAAATTAGGTGTTGGTTCAGGCACAGCACAAAGTACACAGAGGTGAAAAAGTGCATTTGGGAAACTGCAGAGAGCTCATGTAACTGGGGTGCACAGATTAAATAAACAGAGATAAGGCTGAAGAGCTTGGCTTGGACATGCTTCCAGGGGTAAGTTGAAAATGACGCACCTAGCCTGGAAGGTTTCCCAACTTGCTCTGAAGCCTCACCTTCAGCTACTCCAGACCCCTTTATTGTTGTGTGTCCTGCTCCTGTAAAGATTTACCGCTGGGAACCCCTGTGCTGTTGTTAGGTGTGTTTGGGTGGCTTCCAACTCACAGCATTATGTTTTTGGATATAATTCTTTATAGTAACAGAAAGCTTCATTATCTACTGAGAAGTGGCTGGTGGATTCAAACTGCTTACGTTCTGGTTAGCAAACCAATGCAAAACCCATTATACCACCAGGGCTCCTTTAATGTTAAGCACCATCGAGAAGATTCTGAGTCATAGTGAGCCTATGTATAGGGTTTCTGAGAGGCTGAGAGTTTGAACCACAGCCTTTGCGGTTCAAACCGACTCGTATTCCAGTGTTTATCCTGCAGCACCACACCAGGAGTCCGTCCACCAGGGATCCTCAGTTCTGGCCATATCCATGTAGTTGCCATTTCCAAGATATCATACTCTTCTACACCTCCGAGGCCTGCCTTTGTGCTTTGCCCTTTGCTAGGAACAACTCAGTTCAACTGTCACTTTGTCAGGGAAGCTTTCCCTGTTCCATCAGTCTAAGACAGAAGGCTTTCTCGTGCTGACCTCAGTTTACCAACTTCTGGCTCCCCGAAGAAACTAGGTGATGTAACACGGATCTTTCAATTTTGCATCTTCAGGTTCTTCAGTGTTGATATTCATGTTTTTTTATGCTACTGTAAGGAAAAGACCTAATTTTCCATTACACCTTCGTCCCACTAATCGAAAGTGCAAGAGCTCACTTTGGAGATTGTAGATCCAGGCTCATATATTAGTAGAATCTGAAAAATAATTTAAACTTTTTTTTACAGTTTGCCACTCTTAGTGGTACTGCGTCCCCGGCTGTCCAAACCAGAGATGAGTTCAAGGCTGTCAGCGTATGCGGGGGCATTCTCAACGTCTCCCTGTTTAGCCTAGTCCGGGGTGGACCTGGACTTACACAAAGGGCTCTCCCAATTTCCCAGTTTGGTGAATTACACGGTGCTGTACTGTGCATGGAAAAGAACAAGACCCAATGCTTTGAGACTGGTTTGGGGGGCCAGGCCCGTCTTGCTCAGAAATTCTTGTTCCGCGGGTTCCCACAATCTCAGGTCGCAGGAACCACACCGGTAGAAGACGCTAAGAGGCAAACTAGGCGCCGGCAGGGAGGAGGGGCTGCAGGGCTTTGTTCTGAGAGGTTCCTCTTCCGCAGACCGATTGCATCCGCCAGGGCCCAAACTCTCCCCTCCCCTTGTGCACCGGCGGCAGCCCCACTGATCTGGTAATCCGATCTGCAGCGCAGCCTGGACGATCCCTACTTCCGCCACAGACTTGCGTACCCCTTGCCTACCGGGTGAAGGATGGAGCTACGCAAGGTTCCATGAACTTCAGGAACGGGGCTTCGCCTACTCCCTCCCCCACAAGGCCCTTCGGTACTTGTCCCTCCCAGCCCGAGCGCACCGCGCCGTTTCCCAGGTAACTGCGGGCGGTGGCAGAGGCCGGGAGGGGTGGGACTTCCGGCGGGTGACGCGCCGGAGCTCGACTACAAAAGACGACTGCGGCGCGCCGGGGGGAACTTTCCAGAACGCTTCGTGAGCGGCGGAGGAGTGGCGGCTGTCCGAACTGCGCACAGCAACGCACTCCTTCCCGCTCCCCCACACCAGCTTCGGCCCGCTCAACGGTGAGTTTCAGCCCTTGCGTTTCGCCTTGTCCCCGCCAGGTGCCACGGATGGCGCCGCGTTGCCGGGTGGAGCCGCGGTCGGGAGGCGGTTGACCCCGCGTGGGCGGGAGGGGTGTCGGTTCCCTAATCCACGATTCCCTATTTGTTGGTCTGGTGTCGTGCTCTGGCACTCTATTCCCAGCTAACAACGAGTGGACCCCAGGCCTTGCTCGAACTCCCCCACTCCTCAGCCAGTCTGAGGTCCCCAAGGAGCCGTAGCCTTTTTGCCCCTTCGTGCGCGCCCCCGCGCCCCTCCGCCCGCCTTCGTTCGTTCGGGGTGGCGGGCCTTGTGCGCCTGCGCAGAAGAAGGCTGGGGCGAGGGGCTGCGCGGGGGGAGCGGGGCGGAGGCTGCAGCTTTCGTTTCTCTGTCCCTTCCCTTTCTTTGTTGAGGGCTGGGCTTCGCCTTGTACCCCCTGGATCCATTGTGGGCGGGAGAAAGGAAGGCAATCTTAACTGTCGGCGCCAAATGCCGGACGGAACCCGACGAGATGTAAAAGACCCCGGCTTGAGGGCGAGAGGGATTCGGCGGTGAAAGAGGAGGCGCTGTAAACCCTGGGGTTGAGAAACGACTTTAAGGCTCGGGGGAAGGAAGGAAGCCAGCTGACCGGAGCTGATGTTTCTGATGATTTCTAGAAACCAGCTCCCCCCCACCTCCCCCGTGCCATATGTACCGGGCAATAATACGGCATTATCAGACTTACGGAAGACGTTGATAGTGTGAGAACCACTGGACTGAACCTACTAGTGTTTTTATTGTGGCTGGTAGTCACCACCTCTGGGAAGGGACGCAAGCATTCCAAAAAAAAGTGTTAGTACGAAGCCTTGGTGTGGGACTATGAGAAGCAACTGCGAGAAGGAGGGTTTTGAGTATTTTCTAGCTTATCTTTGGTCTGTTAGAATTTTGGGCAGAATTATCCTAGAATTGTTAACCTTTACTGTGAAGTTTAGAGCGGTAGCATTCTAGTTAGATTGGGCAAAGGACAGATTTTTATCTATAATTAAAACTACAAGTTGAAAGTCGATTAAAAAAGCATGTGTTTAATTTCAGGCTGTAGAAAATGGTGAAAGAAACCACTTACTATGATGTTTTGGGGGTCAAACCCAGTGCCACCCAGGAGGAGTTGAAAAAAGCATACAGGAAACTGGCTTTGAAGTACCATCCTGATAAGAATCCTAATGAAGGCGAGAAGGCAAGTAACACATCCTTCAGTGTTACATCTTCCCAGGTGTCTAGTGTAATGAAATAGAGTGTATGGCAAGAACCATTGGTGTGGTGCTGTATTATAAGCACTGGACTGCTAACCACAAGATTGGCGGTTCAAACACACCAGGTACTCCTCTCCAGATATAGGGTTGGAATCAACCACCAACAACATAATGGCAAAAGGAGCCATGGTGATGCAGTAGTTAAGCATCGCAGGCAACTAATACAGAAAGGTCAGTAGTTCAAACTCTGTATCTGCTAGCAGAGCCCCACGGGAAAAAGCCCTGGCAATCTGCTCCCATAAAGATTACAGTCCTTAGGCACACAACAGTGTAATGACTGTGCTTTGTAACAGTTTTGTTTTAAAAAATGAAAATTGATTACTTTTTGTCTCAAACAGTTTAAACAGATTTCTCAAGCTTATGAAGTGCTCTCTGATGCAAAGAAAAGAGAATTATATGACAAAGGAGGAGAACAGGCCATCAAAGAGGGTGGAGCAGGTGGTGGTTTTGGTTCCCCCATGGACATCTTTGATATGTTTTTTGGAGGAGGTGGAAGGATGCAGAGAGAGAGGAGAGGTAAGCTAAACCTAGTCCACATGCAAAAAATTAAGGTAGCTACTGGTGAAAAAAGCAAATTCTTGAGAAAGCATCCATTTTAAACGCTTGGTTAAACGTTAATAAAATGTTGGCTGTGGTATGGTTTAAAAATGAAGTTTTCCATAGAAAAAATGCTCTCAACAAAATAAAAAGCTAAGCCAAGCCAATTAAATGATAATTGTGTATGTTAAAATTAATCAAACATAAAGGGAGTTAGGTAATCCTCAAAGTCCCCCCCTTCCCCCCAAAAAAAATCCTTTTTACATGTATTACTTGCTCATAGCAACCCAGTGCTAGTTAAATACAATAGTCTGTCTCTTCAGTTGAGGGTGATCTAGGGTAACTTCAAGGTCAAGCAGCCAGACAACTGTAGAGCCATGATTGAAACAAACTCATTGCCTTCAGATAGTCTACTGTATGTGTTATCTTGCTTCAGCTTTATTATGTTAAACTGTATGCAATTAATCTAGCAGAAATAATAGTCTACAGGTTGTAGAAATATTGTTTACTCCAGTACAATGTTCTGCTCAAGAGAAGAAAATCTAACCTTGTTCCTAATGTTTTATACCAACAAATAAGGGCTAATGGATTGTAGAACAAATAGGTAAGTCATAAAATGTCACTTTAAGCTACTTAGAAGTTGTATACTCTCTTCACCTTTAAATGTCTTCAAGAAAGTAGTATGCTTTTATTTGAGGATTTTATACCTTAAAAGAAAACAATCTCTAATCCAAGTCAATTGCTTAGTAAATAGTTAGGGTGACTCCACTTACAGAAAAGTGGTGGTGATTGTTTTTAATCAGGGATTGTCCTAACAGTTATCTCTGGCAAATTACTCTGGTTTAAATCAGTAAGAGGTTGCTTTTTGGATTAGAAATGACAAGCTTCATTACACTCCAGAAACTTAAATTTTCCTTCAATACTCTTGATTCTGTATAAAGTTAAAATGAGGGGCAAGTTTGAGTATACCCAAAAAAACTACATTTCCATCCTTGCGTAGTAACATTTTGTTGGCCAGAAACACTAACATGAGAAACTAACCTTTAACAACTAGTGCCGGCCCAGCAGTATTTTGTTTTTATTGATTCAGAAAGAGATGGGAATTTAAAATCTTCAATTGCAACTTGATAAAAATTGCAACAGCTACATCCCTGATTAATATTCATTTTGTTGTTGTGAAGTGGAGTTACAGCAACAACAAGCCACCTTGGAGTCAGTTCCGACTCTATAGTGACCTTGTACAGGGTGTCCGAGGCTGTAAATCTTTACAGGAGCAGAACGCCTCATCTTTCTCCCGCTGAAGCACTGGTAGTTCCGAGCTGCTGACCTTGCAGTTGGCAGTCCGACTCATAACCACTATGCTACGAGAGCTCCTTTAATATTCATTAGTGGGATTTTTATTTATGTCGGAAAACTGCTGGATGATGTAATTGGCCTGGTTGCTCAATACCATACTAAGTGAAAAGTTCAAAGATTTCCATTGGAACAGAAAAGCAGGTTTGGATTAATTTCTTGTGAAATGTGTCCATTTAAATAATGTTGGTTTCTAAGATGACTGTATCTCGCTCCATAGGCACATTACTTTGATCTCTGACGCAGATTTCCTCATCTGTGACTACATTATATGATAAAGATGATGTGTGATCATGTGGCATTCTGTATATGTAATAGGTGTTCAGTAAATGTGTACCCTACGAGAGTCATCTTGTGTTTATCGTTTTTATAATGCTTTGAACTCCGATGATAGAGTGTTTTAGATTTATAATGAGCAATATTTTGTTTTAGGGAAAAACGTTGTGCACCAACTCTCAGTAACATTAGAAGATTTATATAATGGTGCAACAAGAAAACTAGCTCTGCAAAAGAATGTGATTTGTGACAAATGTGAAGGTAAGGTTTTTCTAACATGTTTGTTTAATATGTTGCTGGAGCACTTCGAATATATAAGCAAATATATACTGCCCAAATCTTTGAGAAAAAAAACGCATGACTCTACCACCTAGAGAAAATTAGCAGAATACTAGCTTTCTTTTTATCTTTCTATGTGTATATTTTAAATGCATTTGGGATCCAGCTAGTTTGGTATTTTTCTCAACATACAACACTTTCCTGTATCTTTAATGTTTAAATATCTTAATGGCTTTATAATGTGTAATGTGGTTTAAACAGTTTCTGTCTGAGGACTCACTCCATTTAGAGATAAATTACTGACTGAATCTAAACTATGCTATGTGCCATGGGGGCGGGCTGGGAGGTTTGAATAAAGGTTTACAGAGTACATTGGTTTTCCATTCAATTCATACACATTTGGTTGGATTTGTAACACTGATTACAATCGTAGAAATGTAACAATTCACTTCCTTGTGTTTACCATTTTCATTCATCGATCTTTCCTATCCCTTCCTGCCTTTTGAGCTTTATCCCTGGACACATGCTGCCCCTTTATTCTAGGGAGTGCATACCTTCCTGTTGTTAATTGTTCACTTTATAGGCCTTGTCTGTGAAGCTTTTTTATAAATCAAGTTTCTTGGTATATTGTAGAGATCTAAACGCTTTAAAATGATGTGATCTCACAAGTGTAATTGTCCCAAGAATTGTACTTTGAAAGCACATGTTTAAAATTCTAAAATAAATTCTTAAAAAGACCTGCAGACAGGATGTTTTTAGATACTTGAAGGGATTGTGGCTACATCAAATAAAAAAGACTGGATGATAGATTCTTTAGAGCATCGTTCCATCAGATCGTGAAAATCTTAAGCCCATTCTGAAACTGCATTATTTCTCAAGTATTCATTACTGTATTCGCTACTAAATTTATAAATGATTGGATTTGTCTTTAAACTATTCAGGCCGAGGTGGTAAGAAAGGAGCAGTAGAATGCTGTCCTAACTGCCGAGGGACTGGGATGCAAATAAAAACTCATCAGATAGAACCTGGAATGGTCCAGCAAATTCACTCTGTGTGCATGGAGTGCCAGGGCCATGGGGAACGCATCAGCCCTAAAGATAGATGTAAAAGTTGCAATGGAAGGAAGATAGTTCGAGAGAAGAAGATTCTAGAAGTTCATATTGACAAAGGTGAGTTTGAGCCATTTCTCATTCTGAAATTGTAAGTGCTCCGGGTATTAACATTTTTACAATTCTAAAAATTATGCTTAACTAGACTTACATGTGTGATTCTATAACCCAGAGATAACTCTTACTACTTAGTAAATAGTATTTTTTTAATTTAGCTTTTTGGACATTTGTAGGAGTATGTATTAAAATGGAAAGATCTCATAATGTTAACAATTCCAGATCAATCATGTACTGTATAATAACTTCATTTTAAGATAGGAAATAGTATTTTAATGTTGATTATTCGGAGTAGACAGATTTTATTTTGTGAAGGGGATTATATATACATTTCCTAAAATTTCTATAACATGTAAGTATTTCTGTAATATATTTTTAAATGTTTTTAGAAAGTGACAAAATTAAACAACTGGCAAAAGATCACCCCCACCCCACCTCCCAGAAAACCCTCTCTCACTCCAAAAATCCCTAAAAAAGTACAAGGGGGCTTTAGAAAGTCTGTAAGAGATTCCATTATCTTTCAGTTCCATTTTTCCATGAACTTTGTGAAGCATATATATATAAATCTGCATTGCTGCTGCTGTCTATTGTGACTCAACAGCAACCGTGTATAGGGTTGCCAAGGCTTGTGAATCTGTGCTGGAGCTGAAAGCCTCATCTTGCTCCTCTGGAATAGCTGTTGGGCATGAACTGCTCACCTTGTGGTTATCAGTCCACTGTTTATCCTACAAAGCCACAGAGCTCCCCATATCTATGTTAAGGGGCTGCAGTAGTAACGTTTCCTTCGTCAATTACTGAATTCAGCAAATGATTTTTTCACCTTAGTTGGAGTGTATGTAGAGAGTGCATTTTGATTTTTTTTTTTTCCCCCTTGCTACCGACTTAGGGAGTCCTGGTGTGGTGCTGTGGGTTAATGCGCCAGACCGCAAAGCCATTTGAAATGCAAGCTCACCCACTGCTCCTTGGAAACCCTATACAGGGTCACTGTGGGTCAGAATCGACTCGATGGCACTTAACAACAACAATCAACTTTAGGGAAGGTCATTGGTTTATAAGTAAAGGCATTTTTATGCTGTGTGTACCCATACTTTGTACAGTTTTATGGACTAAATGGCAAAACCTGATTAATTGCTTCACAAATGGAATAGGGTGGTTACTTTGCCACATACATGATTAAAGGCGTATTGTGTTTATATTGTCAATTATATGTGAAAGTGTATTTTCCTTTTTATGTCTTCAGCATTTTAGAGAGGTAAATGGTGGATAGTCTGGGTTTTGCCTCAGTAATACATGAGAAAACGTTCGATGGTGGTATCATAGATGAAATAAGCATAGTCATGAGGTGATAGCGGCTGAATTTCAATCTGTGGAGGATTCTACCATGTGAAATAAGCCAGTCTAATAGTATTAAAATTGTCTGCTTTCATAGAGGTTTCATATTTTCCATAATCAAAACAGAAACAAAGTTAACTTTTATTAGGTAAACTTTTAGTGTGTTGGTTCCGGAAATAAGCAGATGTATGCTGCAATGTAATGTATAAACAGATTTTCTCACTTTTGTGTTTAAAGTGATGTCCAAGCCATTATTCCAAATAAATGCTCGTTGAAAGTATTCTCTATAATTTTTGCTTGTGTAGTAGATATTGGAAAGTCTTCATTTATGCCATTCTTTTGTGTTGTACTTAGAAGAGATGATTTGATATAGGTTCATAAGTGTAAAAGGAGAAGTACAATTCTTGTTGGCATTTACTGGTTGTATTTTTCAGAGAGTTACACGTTTGATACCACATAGACCGTTTTATTTAATCATCACAGCAGGCATAGTGGGGTGCTCTCTTTGGGGAAAGTTGAGGCTTAGCAAGGTTGTGCACCTTGCCTCCTAGGCAATCTAGTAAACAGCAGCTCTGAGATTTGAAGCCAGGTCTTGTTGTGTGACATTCGAAAGTGAACTAATAACCATGGGGACATTTAAAATTATTTCTGTGATACTTAACATTCACAAAGACACTTAGCATTTTATTTTTCATGTATGAACAAATCTGCATGTGGGTGTCATGATAGATTTTGTGATTCTAAATTTGACAGTTCAATAACAAAATTGATCTTTGTTATTTTAGGCATGAAAGATGGTCAGAAGATAACATTCCATGGTGAAGGAGACCAAGAGCCAGGACTGGAGCCAGGCGATATAATTATTGTTTTAGATCAGAAGGACCATGCTGTTTTTACTAGGTAAAACCTCAACATATTTTATATGCTTGAGTTTGTACGTGCCATAGAGTTGATCCCGACTCACAAAGACCCTGTATAGGGTTTCCAAGGGAAGTGGCTGATGTTATAGTTAATTCTGATTTTATACTGAAGTACAAGAAAGATAGTTATCAGTGAATGGGTTAAATCTGTATCTATGGCTAACTTTCAAAACGTTAAGTACTGTCAAGTCAGTCCTGACTCTTAGCCACCCTATATAGGGTTTCCGAGGAGTGACCGGTGAACTTGAACCGCCGACTTTGAGGTTCAAACTGACTTTGCAGTCCAACACATTAACCCACAGCACCACAACCAGAACTTCTTCAAAACCTTAGATTGGAGATAATTTCATTGTCATCTACATGTGGAACTGGATTTTGAATTAGTTATAAAATTGAATATTTTACAAGTGTCTCAGAAATAATAGGAAATGCTATCAAATAGCTCAGGATTGTGGTGCTGTCATTTGAGGTGAATCCTTGAGATTTTTTGATCTCATGAAAATCAGTAAATCTATTCCTTTAAAAATGAGTCATATCTCACTATCAAAGTTCATAGAACCTTAATAATTTCAGACCCAGCTCAGGTCTCTGCAACTAATAACTATTGTTGTTAAGTGCTATAGAGTCGGTTCTAACCTTGCAATTCAAACCATCTTTGCAGTCTAGCACAGTAACTAACCCACAGTGCCACACCAGGACTTCCAACTAATAACTGTAATGTCCTCTAAGAGCAATGTTTGCTGACTTTTAGCCTCATTCTTATAAGCTTGTTTTTCCTTCTCCCTTTCTGTAAGAAACTAGATTTAAAACGGCACTTAACAACAACAACAACAACAATGAGTCAATTTAGGATTGCAAATGGTAGAGGTTGCCTAGAGTATTTGTGTGGAAAGATTCTGAAGTCTTGTCCTAGAAACAGGACTAGGAGGTTCCATCTTTGCTGCTCCCCACTCTCAGCTCTGTTTTAAATGGAGAAAGGAAGGTGTCTTTGTGAAAGATACCACTGATGTTAATTGAAGAGGAGAATTTCCTGCTATGGGTCTTCCAATCATTGGTGAAATGTGTGCCATGTTTACATTGATACAGACGGGGCGAAGACCTTTTCATGTGTATGGACATACAGCTGGTTGAAGCATTGTGTGGCTTCCAAAAGCCGATATCCACTCTTGACAACCGAACCATAGTCATCACCTCTCATCCAGGTATGGTAGACTGTCTCCTCTTTATTTTCATTGTCTGCTTATAACTGAGTAGTGTATTGTTCTTCCCTGATTATATACCCTTTGTGCAGCCTGAGTTGTCATGGGGTGGGGGGTGTCTTTTTTTTTTAAATGGTGTGTGTGTGTATATAAAGAGAAGTTTATCAAGAAAATAGCTTACAATTGCAGAGTCCCAGGTCCCCAGTGCAAGAGAGCCTTTCCTGAGTGTCCACTATAGTGGGAGCAGGCAACACTCCCAAGAAAGCATCCCTTCAATTAATTTAAATGTCCAAAGGGCAGTTCTGCAAGTCAGCCTCCTGCCGTTAAACTTACTCAGTCCATGGGCCTAGAATCTCTAGCTGCTGTGTTTCTCTGTGGCACTGTCTCTGATTTCTGCCTTTCCAGGCAGGGATCTCACACTCCATTCATACTCTTCCTTTAATGATGGTCCTGGGATCATCAGTTCCTGAAATGAAAGAGAATACTCCTCCCCTCTCCCCCACTTTCAGTTACACATTGTCTACAATTTATAGTTTTGACAATCACAGTTAAACCTACTAACAGTTAACTCACAATTGAAATAATAAAATTCTATCAGCATCATCCCCCACTCTGCAGATCCATCTGGAAAAGAAGAAAATTATTCAGTGGGGATTATTCTACCATACCACCTTTATCCTGAAACTAAGCACACCCGTGAAAGCTAGTAAAGCAATCACTTCTTGCTCTTAATAGTCTCCTATTTCTGATGGTGGTGGGGGTTATGTGCTATGGAGTTGGTTTTGACTCATAGTGGCCCTGTATAGGATCTCTGAGGCTGTAAATCTTTATGGGAGCATACAATGTCTTAAGTTGTCCGTCCCTATCAACCCAGTACACTGAGGAGGCAAACATGTTCCTTGATTTGAAGAATCTTCCATTGTGGTTGGAACTTTGAGCAACTGCATCCATAAGCAAAAGTCTAGTTCATCACATTATAGCAATTGTACTTCCTCACAGTATCAAACATTAGTTATCTTCATCCAGTTAGGGTCTGGTCACAATTACACCCTAGCCATTCAAGCCAGGTCAAATGAGTACCAGCTGCAGCTCCCTGTACTTCAGTCCAGCTGGCATCCTTACTCTCAGAGTGCCTATGACTTCAGGAGTGAACATAACTCTGTAAACTTCAGACCAGTCAGCCTTACCTCTCCTGTCAGGGTCAGTGGGTGCCAGTAGAACATGTCTAAATAGTCTGTGTCTTCGTTACTGCATTTTCTCCAATTCCACTCACAAGTAAACCCAGGTGGTCACCAGTGAGCATACTAGCTGCTGCTTACCAGCTCCCTTTAACTTTTTTGTTCCATGTTAGGTGCCATAGAATTGATTCCGACCAATAGCATCCCTGTATAGGGTTTTCATGGAGCAACTGGTGAGCTTAAACTGCCGACCTTGCATTTCAAACTGGCTTTGCAATTTGGTGCATTAAACCACAGCCACACCAGGTCTCCTTAGAAGGGAAACTGTCTGATGGTCCAACTGTCCTTGCGTTGATGTCTCCATAGTCCAAAAAGACAAACTGCTCTTTTTCCCCCTTTGCTTTCTTTTAATCTGTTTTCCTATCAGTTTTGCGTGGGGCTTAGGATACTCTTATTTCTGAAAGCAAAAAGGCTCTTTCTTTCTTGGCATAGTTCTAAGTCTCCTTTGGCAAATCCAATAAAATATAGGCTGATGAAGGTGGGCTCATAAGCTCTCTAATCATCACACCCAACATAGTCATTTCTATATCAGATACATTATTTCATAATTATAGGCAGGAGACACCAATATCCATAAGGCAGTCAAACCCAGAAACCTTTTAAAACATTCATGACGCCATTGCAGTGAATCCTCCTGACAACCAGCTACTTAAACCAAGTGGGGACAGTGACTCCACAAAGGGCAAAGAGGGCCAAACTCAAGATCACCCAAGGCTGATTCCAATGAAGTGGAGGTCAGACGTGCCTCCATTCCTATTATCAGTGCTCATTTAGAAAATTCATCCTTATAATTTTGTTTCTCTAGATCCATGTTCTCTTGGCCACACACACCTTGAGCCGAATTTTGTAGGGAAGCAAAATCAGTAACGAGTGTATATGTGTATTTATCTTTATTATCAGGAAATGGCTTATAATTGCAGAGTCCCAGGTCCCCAGCGGAAGAGTCATGTCGTCTTGACTTTTTTTGGTAGCCCCAAGAAAACCCATAATTGAAAGGTTACAAAATTGCTTCCATTCACAAATTTGTTTCTAGTAGTGTGCTAGAGTGTTTTCCTTATTTGCCCTGCCTCCTAAAAATGTAACCATACTTAAGCAAGAATTTGGCTTCAATGTTTTTAGGTCAGATTGTCAAGCATGAAGATATCAAATGTGTGCTAAATGAAGGTATGCCAATTTATCGTAGACCGTATGAAAAGGGGCGCCTAATCATCGAATTTAAGGTAAGCTATAGACAGCACTTAACAATAACAACAATAATTTGACTATTTATAATGGTTAATTTACTGAAATCTAGTACAGTTAATACTTTGTGAATGCCAAGAAACACTAGTGTTCTTGCTTGTTTTAATAGGAAGAGGTTGTTGTTGTTAGGTGCCTTCAAGTCAGTACCGACTCAAAGCGACCTTATGCACAACAGAATGAAACACTGCCTGATCCTGGGCCAACCTCACTACTGTTGTCACACTTGAGTCCATAGATGATGCCACTTGGCTAATCCATCTCGTTGGGGGTTTCCTCTTTTTCTCTGACCCTCCACCTTACCAACCATGGTATCCTTCTCCAGCAACTGGTCCTTACTAACAATATGTTTGAAGAATGAGACGGAAGTTTAGCTATCTTGGCCTCCAAGGAGCACTCTGGCTGCACTTCTTCAAACACAGATCTGTTGGGTTTTTTTGGCAGCCCATGACACTTTCAATATTCTTCTCCAACACCATAACTCAAAAGCATCAATTCTTCTGTGGTCTTCCTTATTCACTGTCTAGCTTTCACATGCATATGAGGTTATTGAACCCCATGGCTTGGGTCAGGTGCACCTTAGTTCTCAAGCTGACATCTTTGCTCTTGAACACTTTAAAAAGGTCGTCTTGTGCAGCAGATTTGCCTAATTCAATACGTAGTTTGATTTCTTGACTGCTGCTTCCACGAGTGTTGATAGTTGATCCAAGAAGAATTAAGTCCTTGACAACTTCAGTTTTTTCTCTGTTGATACGAATGTTTTTTATTGGTCCAGTCGTGGGGATTTTTGTTTCTGTTTTTTACATCAAGATGTAATCCATATTCCCGAAAGCTGTGTGCTCTTTAATCTTCGTCAGTAAATGTTTCTAAGTCCTCTTCACTTTCAGCAATCCAAGGTTGTATCTACATCTTGCAGGTTATTAATGTGTCTTCCTCCAATCCTGATGCCAAGTTTTTCTTCATATAGCCTAGCTTCTCTGATTATTTGCTCAGCATACAGGTTGAATAAGTATGGTGAAAGAACACAACCTTGACGCATACCTTTCTTAATTTTAAACCAGTGTTTCCATGTTCTGTTCGAACAACTGCGTCTTGGTCCAGGTACAAATTCCTCATGAGCACAAGCCGGAATACTCAATACTTTGCAATGTTGTCCATAGCTTGTCGTGATCCACACAATTAAAAGCCTTTGTATAGTCAATAAAGCACAGGTAAACATCTTTCTGATACGCTCAGCTTTCAGCCAAGATCCATCAAACAGCAGTGATATCCCTCGTTCCACGGCCTCTTCTGAATCTAACTTGAACCTCTGGATGGTCTCTTGTCAGTGTATGCTTACCAGCTGTTTCTGTATTACCTTTAGTAAAACTTGACTCGCATGAGATTGTCCGGTGATTTCCACATTCCCTTGGGTCACCTCTGTGGAACGGGCACAACTACAGATCTCTTCCAATCAGTTGGCCAGATAGTTGTCTTCCAAATTTCTTGGCAGAGATGAGTGAGTGCCTCCTGTGCCGCCTCACTTTCATGAAAGATTTCAATTCTGATTCCATCAATTCCTGGTGCCTTGTTCTTTGCCAGTTCCTTCTATGCACCTTGGACTTCCTCTTTCAGTATTATTGGCTCTTGATATATGCTTCTGCTTGAAACGGTTGAACATTAACCATTTCCTTTTGGTACAGTGACTCTATATTCCTTCCATCTTCTGTTGATAACTTTCTACATCATTCAATAATTTGCCCAAAGAATCTTTCAGTAACAAAAGTCGAGGCTTGAATTTTTTCTTCAGTTCCCCCAGCTTGAGCTGAGCATATTCTTCCTTTTTGGTTTTTTGATTCCAGATCTTTGCACATTTTGTTTTAATATTTGGCTTTATCTTCTCGAGCTGATCTTGGAAATTTTCTGTTCAGCTCTTGTACTTAGTAATTTCTTCCATAGGGAGAGGTATCCTTATCTAATACTACTTTGCTAAAAAGGAGCTCTGGCAGCGTAGTGGTTACAAATCAGGCTGCTAACCTCAGGGTCGCTATGGGTCGGAACTGACTCGACGGCACTTAACAACAACAACCTCAGTGCCAGCAGTTAAAAACTACCAGCTGTTCCATGGGAAAAGATGATCCTGTAAAGAATCAACCACCTCGAGCTCCAGGTCAGAACTGGCTCCACAGCACATAATCACCACCACCACCACTTTGATAACAGTTTGCAGTTGGATTTGTTATCATTAGCTGTAAGATAGGCTTTAGGGATGAGGGGCCTTAAATTGATTCTATTTCAGAATCTTAAAACCCACTGCCATCTAGTAGATTCTGACTCATAGTGATCCTGTAGGACAGGGTTTTTTAGACTGTTGATCTTTACAGGAAGAATCTACTGTATAACCATTGGTTTTTGTCACTAGTGCCATCAAGTCCATCCCAACCCATAGTGGACCCAGTATAGGGTTTCTGAGGAGCCACTGGTGTGAGCTTGAACCCCACCAACCTTGCAGTTCAAACTGACTTTGCAGTCCCGCGCATAACCCACAGTGCCACACCAGGACTCCTTCAGGTTTTTCAAACATCTAGTTAGCCATTGTGGATTTGGTGACAAAATACTTATATTAACTAAGGAAAGACTAACTGGTAAAATAACAACTTTATTTAAATTAACTTCAAAGAATTGTCGATTTATTTTAAGATCAGTTCTTTTGTTTAAAAATATATTTGCTTGAATGTACAAGAGGGAGTTTGGCAGAAGAAAGGTAGCAGGAAACACAGGCATAAAGGAATGAATGTAAGAGTTAAAGTTAATAGTGGTATATACTGTTAACTGAAGGTACATGGAGGGGATTGCAATCGTAGTTAAGCAAAGTATGCGATTCATCAAAGGTAAAACTGATCATTTGCTCTGTAGACATTCACTGAATTCAGAATAAAAGGTTTTTTTTGTTGTTATTTGTTTTTAAATGATTTTCTGAATGAATATTTAGGTGCATACTCAGGTAATATAAAAATTTGTGTCGTAGTCTTTAAAAGCTTGTTTAGAATTGCTGGGTGCTGTCCCTTTGGAAACATGAGTTCTAATATGATCTGAGATTGGTAGGTTCCCCTCCCTACAGGCTGTATGTGCATGCATGTATTTTTCTGGGGAAAATGAGTCCATTGTAATGTGTGAAGCTAATCTGAAATCAGTCAAATTGAACTTTACAGTAGAAATTTTTTTTTTTATAGGTAAACTTTCCTGAGAATGGTTTTCTGTCTCCTGATAAACTGTCTTTGCTGGAAAAACTCCTCCCTGAGAGAAAGGAAGTAGAAGAGACTGATGACATGGATCAGGTAGAACTGGTGGACTTTGATCCTAACCAGGAAAGACGGCGCCATTACAATGGAGAAGCATATGAGGATGATGACCATCACCCCAGAGGTGGGGTTCAGTGCCAGACCTCTTAATTTGGGGT